ATGCTTGCCATCGATCAACGTTCCTGTGACGGTAAGTAAACAAACAACTGCAAAATATGATACTTAAGGGTGGCAGTGGGGAATATATCGTGTTTTCACGCACCCTATATTGATAGAATATCTTGTAAGCATAGAAGCTACCCCCTATAAACTATATACTGTTTGAAAGCTTTTATTCTGAAGAATAAGATAATAACAACCACAAAGCCATTCACTTTTAATATAATAAAATGAATGAGAGATTTCCAAACAAAACAATTAGAGATTTTTCAGAATAAAAACTGCAACCACTACTACTCAGAAGTGTACAGGTATTCCTTGTTGGATTTACAAGGTAGATAGTATGTTTATATAACTTGAATTTAATGATGGCTTTTTGTGAAAATTCTGCTGTTTTTACAGTGAGATAAAGTGATTTGAAAAATCAAAACCTCATGAAAAACAGAAATATTTTTGTTTACCATATAGGTACTCTTAAACCATCATCAACCATGTTTTTCTCCTTGAAATAAACATTTCCTCCAAATTTGAACGTAATTGAGGATAGTTTTTAAGTTATAGCAATTAAATTTGAAAATGGAAATGTTGGCGTTAAAATGTATGAGAATATCAGTAGGTGTGCACTAAATATTCCATGGAAAAGAAAATGTTGCTTCTCCTAAATGATGACTGAGAAGAAAGTGAAGCAGAAGTTTATATGTTTAGGAAATAAATGCTCACTTTACCTGTTTAAAGATATTAGATGATATTAATTAGTCATTGTACATTCCGATCCATACCACATCCATATTGAGTAATTATTTCACTTCAGGTGATATAGTGCTTGACATCAATTACTTAATCCTTAATTAGAAAAAGAAATATACCTGTATCCCATACATTGGTATTTTTGAAGCTTCCACTTCATACTAAACCAGGAAATGTAAAACTCTTTTTTTTTTTCTCATTTAATACCCCACTGCCTCCCTTAACCAGTATTTTGGACCATGTAAAAGAGAAACAAACATAAAAATAATTCCTGACAAACAATCTCAGAAAAGTAAATTTGTAAGAGAACAAGCGCTGATGGTAAGGGTGTGGGCCCGTGTGTGTGTTGCGTGTATATGATATGTACCTGTTGTCTTAGGATTTTTTGGAACAGTCGCTCTCATAACAAGTTTCTTTAAATTTAAAAAGTTGTCTTCCGGACAAAGGTTTATAATACATGTTTAAAGGGAAAGTTTACCCTGATATTAATTTGGTTTTTATATAAGCAGAACAAGATTTGTCCAGAGGATAAGCATACGACCTAATTGATAATTCATCATTTCTTGTAACATTAACTGTAATCCTAATCTTTCCTAACATCTTACTGTAAACCTACCCCTAACTTATCAATAGTCAAAACATTTTTGAACCACAACTTGAATACAAATCAACATAAACATATCATGGATTAACATTTACTGAATATATCATAAGAAATTTCTCCATTGATTGACTGATTAAATGATTGATTCATTGTATTTGTATAAAGTATAAGTGTTTTACTTTATGGAATATATGAGAGAGAGAGAGAGAGAGGATAGCCCATTAAAGGTGAAAATTGGTTTTATTTCCAATAACCATTAGTATTGCATATGTTAGGAGAAATTTTAATGGAGCTTTAACATGAAAGTTTTTCTTCATGACATTTTTATATTTTAATATCAAAAATTTGCTTCATCTTATCACAGAGATAAGTGAATGTGATGAGGCCCTGATGGATTCCACTGCATCTGTCAATTGCACATGCGAGCCTGGTTTTCAACTTGAAAATGGAACCTGTTTCAGGTATGTTGACAGGCCGTACCAGGTTTCACGGGAGCAAAATGAGGTCAAGGATTATTTTATAAATGGGGGTGGAGGTCCATAACAGATATGTGTCACGTTTTACCAGCCCTTCTAACCTGGGTGAGGACGACAAAAAAAAATATTTTGACTATGGTAGTTATAATTGTTATAACTGGCCATTTAAACAAGGAAGTGATGATTATAATCTGTAATCTTGTACTGACATGCAAACGAAACAAATTTCCAATCATTGGACAATAAATTTTGAATTGAATTGAATTGAGAGGCGGAGAGAGAGAGAGAGAGAGAGGGAGAGAGAATTTTACAATGTGATAGAGCATTACAAATAAAAAGATTCTCCTTAAATATTCCTGAATTTAACAAATGATTATGTTCTCATTAAACCCAGTTCTATGACATGACTTGTTAATATCAGATCTGCTTTCAACTGTTTTGCCATTTTTATTTATAATTCTGACTTCAATTCTGTTATTTGACAAAGATTTCTTGTTACTCATCAGATTTTGATGAATGTGCATCTGATGTGGACCTATGCCCGCGTGATATATCTACCTGTTTCAACCTGCCTGGAGACTACAACTGCACCTGTCATTCAGGATACGACAATTCATCCCCTAAGAGTGTCAAGGTATGAACTAGTAGCAGCTTAGTGGGGGGGAGGGGGGGGGGGTTCAATTCCCCTACACAAATACTTCAAGGCCCCTATTCTTGAATACTTTTTGAATCTAAGCGATGCAATCAAGCAAGATCCTCAAGACCCCAAGCCCCCAACCTCCAATAATATGTATATTTACAATTCAATTTAATTGTAATTTAATACCACAAAAACATACATACATAGCACTATAATTGTTAATAGATTACAAAAAATAGAATACATGTCGGCCTGTCTACATTGGTACAACAATATAAAAGTTGCTTAGCAGGTAGCGTGACCCTAATAAGTGGCCGGCCTAAAGATTATAATTAAATGATAATTATCAGTACCAAGGATATGACAAATACAACAACACAGGTTCAAATATATATAACACAGTGCCTGGCATTTATATTCCAGATAAATGGGAAGGGAATTCCAAATGATAGGTGCTTGGTACATAAAGATTTTTGAGAAAATGAGTATGCATATGTATAATTATAATAGCCGTGCCTGGTATTAACTTATTAAAAACTCAGATTTTAAGTAATAAATAAGCCCAAGACAAAACATTTTTATTTATCACACCGCTTGTAAGTGAGCGTTTTAGTGAGGGAGACAATAGAGTAGGAGGTGAAAGAGAGAGTGAGACTGTGAGAATGAGATGGAGAGTCACAGAGAGAAAGGGAGGGAGAAAGGTGGGGGAGAAAATGTAGGTCACACATTATGGTATGTGATCAGGTAGCAGAATGACACAAGAGGTTCACAGATTGTAACATTGCCAGATATGTGTGAGCATGGTGGAATATGTTCAGAGCGTGAAATAAAAAAGGAAAAAACAGAAAAGATAAAAAAAAGGGATAGTAATTGAATTGTCCATACAGGTTATAGGTTCATTCTAAAAATATTGATAGCTACCTTAATCACTTACAAACTTTTCCTTTCATGTTACAGCTGATATTCTAAGCAAATAAATGTCCCTTAATTTGGTACTTGCGGCAAGCATATGTTATTTATCAGTTTTTCAATTACATAGTATATCACTAACCAATTCTGGCTACTCGAAATCCTTGATTGAAATGTTGAAAATATCCGCCTCTCTTTGCATATAAAATCAGTCGCAGCGCTGGTCTACTATATATATGACATCACGTCCGGGAAAGAGTATATTCACGTACCCGGATGTTCCATAGAAGCATGTGCAGAGAGATACGATTTTCTGCTTATTTTGTTTCAAAGGCTGAAAAGTCTAATAATCATAATTCTATGTACAATTCTTTACCTTCCCTTAATATTTTATAGTATTAATATCAATTCCCCTTTTAAAAATGATTACATATACATGCCAACGATGTGCTATATTAGTCGATATTTTCACCATGTAATTTTTGTTTTGGTGTTGATTGTTAAATCGGCCCAGGCACGGAGTGAACTGTAGCGCTGTCTGGTAGTGGACTGATGCACCGTTCATTACCATACGCGATATCCCGATGGTTTCTCCTTCCCTTTTCCCATGTCTTTCGCCTTCCTTGCCCTGAAGATCCTTCATCTTCTTCCATGCTGTGCATTGTGCGATCTACCAATTCTGACACCGGTAGTCACTGAGGAGCAGGTCTTTGTTAGTTGTTTTTTCATCACAAGCAAGCTGCTCCTAGAGCAGCGGCCTGGTCTTACCTCCCGATTCTGCTCGCTTCACGAACGTTCGTGCAAGAGCCGCATCACTCGCGGATGACTATCGTTCGATCATTAGACGTTGTCAAAATATTAAAGAGGAGGTGATGGCTACAGGGAGCAGACATGGTCTGGTTTTGTGATATAAAATCCACTTAATCTTGCACTTTTAACTGCAGATCGTGTATTTTATTTACCTAATTTTGCTTCTTGAACATATCTTCAAGCTTTTGATATAATTATTTTGTTCTTTGATACCTTCTGGAGGTAGAATATTGTGATAGTTTTTACAGCCATTTTCTGCCAAGGAATTTGAACACACACCTGTAGTCCCATATGGAGATCCTGAGTTTGCTTATTTTGCCCAGCCTTCTTCATACCTACACTACAGGCAACAATAACTGTAATGTATATTTTCTGACTGAATCATGCTTATATTATTCTTATGATATAGAAGCAATTACTCACCGGATTTAATCATTTACCAGATGATTTAGCTAACCGTCTACTACTACTAATAGCTAACCTACATAAAATGGTGTAGCTGAGTGAGTGAGACTGCTGAGCTTTTCTGACTTCCCTTTGTTTTGTTCTGAATACGTATTGAATATTGAATACTGTCCTGCCAAATTTAATCACCGGTATTCATCCCCGTTCGACTTGCAAACGCCATCATGAAGAATTACTTCTTACCACCCTCTCTTCTAGATCACATCCACTCCTTCTAGCAATACTCTCAATAGTGTGTGCACTTAACTATTGAAGAGTGGAAACCTGTACACGCAGATTGCAGACCATAGATCAGCTTCTTTACCCTTCTTCGATCTACACGCAACGCTTTGTGAACCAAGATCACTACACCAGCCTACTAGAAGGCGTACTTACACTGCAGATATTGATAACTGCAAACTGTTACTTTTTATATCATCCTGTAATAAGTGGAATCGAAATACAAAGCTTTGTCCACTTGACTTCAGGTCGACTTCTTTGAGCCACCTAACCATCCTACTTCTCCTCAGCGGACAAGTTGAAACCAACCCTGATCCATCAACTAGTGCTCCTGAGACATTTCCATGTGCCATCTGTGGGATGAAGTGAGAGACAACGACCCTGCTCTCTTATGCGATCACTGCGACTGCTGGTGCCACATCTCATGTGTCGGTATCTCCCCAGACTCCTATGATATCTTGACGAAGAAGTCCAGGAGCTTCGCTTGGGTGTGCTGCCAGTGTTCCTCTACCAACATAGGGTCAAGCAGCTCGCTGCAAGGTCTTAACCTCTCACAGACCAATCGTTTTCTCACCCCTTCACCACGACTCCAGTAATGAAGAATCCTTCACTCCAACCCTCTAACCTCTACGCCTACATCGAGCCCTGGGGGACGTCGTCAACCACGATTTCACCCTCCATCAAGAAATCGCAAAAAGGCATTTAAAGTGATGGTTGTAAACTGCAATGGTCTTAAGGGAATGCTAAAAAATCAAGCTTCCATGCAGCTATTGCTCACCACACTCCTGATTTTGTTTTTGGTTGTGAATCAAACTGGATGACAGCTTATCATCATACTCAATCTTCCCAAGCAATTACTCCATCTACCGTAAGGACAGAAACATCCATGGAGGTGGTGTTTTCATAGCAATCATCGACACGCTAATTGTCACTGAATGTCCAGAGTTTGACTCAGACTGTGAGATACAGTGGTGCAACGTGCAACTTGCAATGCCAAGCCACTGTATATTGGTAGCTACTACTGCCCCCCCCCTCCAACAACAGACAACAAGGTCTTGAAGGCTTGCACCAGTCATTGTCCAAGATTATGACAAGGCACCGGCGCAGCCACCCTAACATCTTGATAGCCGGCGACTTTAATCACCCAGACATCAACTGGGATGACCATCGACTACAAATCCAGCCACTTCTACTTGTCACCAGAAGCTGTTGGATATCCTTTTGCACAACTCCTTGTCTCAAACAGTCAGGAAGTCACCCGACCTTCATCCAACAACATCCTGGATCTAGTTGTGACGTCAAATCCCGCCCTGGTTGAGAATGTGTGCGTAAAGTCTGGGATATCAGACCACAACATCGTCACTTTTACTCTTGCTGCAAATCCAAAGATCTCTGTCAAGCCCCTGAGGAAGATCTACCAGTTCCACAAAGCTGACGAAAGCAACTGAGAGATGCAGCAGCCGAATTTGCGACGGAATTCCTCCAATCAGATCCAGAAAGAAATCAGTGGAGACAAACTGGTCCATCATTGTCAACTTCTTGAACAGGTGTTTTGTCTGAGCTTATTCCTTCCAAAATGAGCAAAGGAAGGAAACATCTTCCTTGGATTACTCCTCCTTTGAAACGCCAGATGAGGAAGAGAGATAGCCTATTCAAGAAGGCACACAGCCAGTCTTGCTCCACAGCTTCGACAGCCTACCGACAATTCAGGAACCAAGTTGCCAAGAATGTGCACAGAGCACGTTGTGAGTACGTCAACAACATCATCGGGGCAAGCCTTAAGGACACCCAAAGTCTTTCTGGTCTTACATCAAGACATGTCGTTCTGAAAACATTGGTATTCCTACCTTGCGTACTCCATCTAAACTATGCGCCTCAGCATTAGACAGGCAGAGACACTGAACGACTACTTCCAGTCTGTCTTTACTCCTCACCAGCTCAACCTCTTGTACAGAAAGGACCTTCTCCTTTTCCAACTATTGGTCACCTGCATGTTCACAGGACTGGTGTCGAGAAACGCCTCCAACAACTGGACCCTTCAAAGGCCAGCGGACCTGATGAACTTCCACCCCAGCTCCTAAAGTTGGTAGCTCGCGAGATTGCTTCTCCACTGTCCTTCCTGTTTCAACAAGCTACAACAGTGGCATCGTTCCAGCCCAATGGAAACAAGCACTGGTTACCCCTATTCACAAGTCGGGAGAAAAGTGTGACCCCTCCAACTACAGACCGATCTCACTTACTTGCGTTTGCTGCAAAGTCATGGAACACATCATCCTGAGCCATGTGTCGAAGCATGTTGCAGTGAATAATATCCTCACTGATGCACAGCATGGCTTCCGACGAGGGTTGTCAACAACCACTCAATTGACAACAGCCGTCCACGACTGGTCCTCCATCCTACAGCAGCGTAGCCAAGCTGATATAATCTTCTTGGACTTCAAGAAGGCATTTGATCGAGTACCACACCTTCTCCTGTCAAACCAACTTCAGTACTATGGAATAAGTGGTGACTCACTCCAGTGGATAATGTCTCTCCTCACTGATAGACAACAGCAGTCGTAGTTGATGGATCCAAATCAACATGGAGGGATGTAACATCTGGAGTCCCCCAGGGATCCGTCATTGGCCCTACCCTCTTCCTGTTGTATATCAACGATATTCAAGACAACATCCAGTCCACAATGCGTCTCTTCGCAGATGACAGCACCCTCTATCGTGAGATTCGATGCCCTGAGGACCCTCAAATCCTAAAGGACGATCTCCAACAGCTGTCCGGTGGTCTTCAAACTGGATGATGGACTTCAACGTGAAAAGTGCGCTATCCTCACCATCACACGGAAGCGTACTCCCAGCATCCGAGAATACTACCTGTCAAATGGACTGATTCCGAGAGTGAAAGAGTACAAGTACCTTGGAGTAACGGTTGCTGCTGATCTCCGTTGGAACAAGCACTGCCAAACCATCCGGCATAAAGCAAGCCGTACTCTAGGTCCTCTTCGCAGGACTCTCTCACCCTGTACCAGGGATGTAAAGTCCAGGGCCTACACAGCCTTAGTGCGCCCCCAATTGGAGTATGCCTCGGAGGCTTGGAACCCACACAGCGTCATGGTCACAAAAATGCTAGAGCAAGTACAAAGAACAGCGGCTCGCTTTGTGTACCGTGACTACAGATACACCACATCACCATCAGCTCTTGTGGCAGCTCTAGGGTGGGACACGCTTCACACACGTCGAATCCTCGACCAATGCACCCTTCTCTACAAGATCCATCACCGACTTGTCTCCATACCTGCACCAACTATTGTTATCCCTGCTACATACTTCGGAAGACATGACCACAACCTGAAGTATGTAATTCCTGTTGCAACTATCGACTCCTTCAAGTTCTCATACTACCCAAGAGCAATAAGGATCTGGAACCATCTGCCAGGCTCAGCAGTTAATGCAACAGGAATAACCAACTTCAAGGAGGCTGCTCTACCCTCCATCAGAATGATGCAGCCCCCCCCCCCCCCCGTTGGTTCTCACATCATATAAGCTTACTAGCTTGGTTTTTACTTGCACTGGACTTAGCATATTTTACTGTAAATTGACAAGTGCTTTGTCCACACACCATTCCAGCAATTCATGACACTCCTTGTAGTCACTTGCCTCACCTACCATCCCAGTATAGCTTCCTGAGTGAGCTGCCAAAGGGATTACCCAACCAAGTACCAAGAGGAAGCGCGCTTGCATGATCCCGTTCAAGTTTGATATTTACAACATAAAATGTTTAACTGGTACTGTATCCTTTTTTGAGGCAGTCACACACATCTATGATAAGTACTATCATAGTTCTAGGCCTATTCGTTTTACAAAACTGCTCCTGTACCTTATCTGATGACAAGATAATGCATCCGCCTATTCATACGTGCATGATTTACCTTATTTCCCAAGCAGTAAACTCGTCTGCAATCTCTATAAATAGGTGAATATATAAAAGAAATCAGCGACTGAAAAATGATGCTTCGTTATTCTTCATTCATCGGTCAAATGAAAACAGAAATCCATCAAATATACCGTACTCATTAACAACAACAAATCTAAGCTCTGACAGGAAAGCATTTACGTAGATATATCATTGCCATTCACTCTCACTGAGCCCATGAGTCCCGTTCGTGACGTCACGGATAGAGGCCCGACTCTACATGCACTTCCGGGTTTCAGACTTAGATAGTTTTGGTAGAGTTTACTCGCATAAATTCACCATTCTAAACTTGTTTTTTGTCAGTTGGACACCGTTTAGTGTTATTCTGGGGGTTAAAAGCTTTCTATTGATGTAATTATCTCAATATTTGGGATTGTCTAATACCAACTGTAATGCTTCCTGTAACATTATGTCATCTCTCTCGTTCAATATACAACCTTGTTCTCCCTTTGTGCCCTTTTAAACAGATATCGATGATTGTGAATCGAGCACGGATGTCTGCGAGTCCAGCCTAGATCGTGTTTGCAGGAACACACCCGGTAACTTCTCGTGCGTGTGCAGTGAGAACACAACAGAAATCAATGGAACCTGCCAAAGTATGAATCTATTTAGTTTGTTTTCTTAATGACCGGCTGGTACGAAATTACTGTGAAATATGTTTCGTATTTGGCAACATTTGGTATGCCCTGTATTCGGACTGAAATTTTGATTCCCAATTTAGAGGGCAGATCCAAAATTAAAAAATTAAACTCCCGTATAAGGCAACATAATTCGATGGGAACTGTCAAAGTATGAATCCCTTTTGTATTTGTTTTCCTCTCAGTTAAATCAAGCAATTTAAAATATTTGGGCTTATTCTCAAACTTAAATGTACTTTGTAAACCTTTTTTGTTTCATAGATACTTATCAGTATTTTGTTACTATTATAGTTTATTTGTTCTATTATATATTGTAATAGTGTATGGTTTATACTTGTTATTTTATTTTTGGATGTTTGAGTGGAAAAAAGATTCAATCAAATCAAATATATTTTCTAATCCAATTCAATATAACCTGTCAATCACTTGTTGATTTAGCAACATATCTATGCCATGTTCTCCTAATGAAGACTTTAAGAGAAATTCAACTATAGGGCGGATCTGCATAGGGAGGGGGAGGGTCAAAACTTTTGTTCATGTGCTTCGCTCGCCAGCAAGATGTGGAAACTTGAAAGATGATTTTCGAGGAAGAACTGTCTCCATCCCTTTAGATGAAAATGTATACAAACGACCTTTATTTTAAAGAAAGTAGTCTATTTAAAGATTAGATCATTATCCTACTAATTAAGCATAAGATTCCATAACAGTGTATTTCTTGTGTTTTTAATTCTGCAATGGAATAGACGCGCTGTCGTTATCACTCAACGTTCGTCTTACATTCATCACTGGATTAAGCGTTGAATATTATCCTTCTGTGGTCGAATCGCAAGAGAACCAGCGTCAGTTGGCCCAAGATGTAAGTTAATTTGGAGAAGTTCCAGAGAAATACAATTTAATCTGTCAATAAAGGTTCACTTATGAATCAAGATTTTTTTGTTTCTTAAACGTGAAAGTTAGTTGTTCACTACCTTTTTCTAAATCTGATAAATAACAATCATAAAGAGTCAACTAAGATATGATTTTTTTTCTTAAACTGAATACACTTTAACTTAATAATACATTGATAGGATAACAGGCTATTCTGTGCAAATAAAGTTTCGCAAAACAAAAACAATTCAACTAACGTGTGAATAAAATCTTCTTTTTTTTGAAGAGATTTTGAAGACGTTCATCTTTTGAAACAAACAAAATTATTGTAAAAAGCATTTTTGGGGGCTCATGTCAAACTCATCCAAAACTTTAGTCTTGTCAGAGCAAAATTCCCATTACAGTTTAAATAATGAATTCATGGAATTGTGATTTATAAATCTTTTTGAAGGTATTGCGTTACCTCAATACATCACCAGAATGGGAGACGACATACTTCAGGCTGTGTCTGTTAAAACTACACTTTGACCGGAAATTATGCTCTGGTATCCTTCCGGGTCGACGTAAAACCTAATGCATCTTTGGATGATACCAGCCTAGAGCGGATTTTCATGGAATTGCTTCCTGGGTCACGACTTATTGCCCCAGATCATCAAGTCATGCAGGAGGGTAAGACGATACACTTATCTTAAACCTTAATAGCGCGGGGGTACTTTTTCTTTGACATCTCGCTCACATTTTAAGTCCCTATTTGCAAAAATCGGGGTACGGTTGCAGATTACATATTCCTGACCAACGTCGCCAAAAAATGGCGGTTTCCATTGATCTTGTGTGTACAATGTATGGGTTTTACAAGAAGTGTTGTCCAAAAAATGCATTTTCTTTTTTTCCTCAGATAACATCCCTTTTGACCATCATCAACTATTCTAGATAACAAAACAATGAAAAACTAAAGATTTGAAAACTAAGAAATACATAAAAATTCAGAAACAATCAAAGAAAAAGAAAATTATCAATCTAAAAAAATGTTAGTGGACAAATAATTTCACATTTTTGATATTATTTAATTGTTCTAAATTTACAAAAAATAAGTACAAAAGATTTCTGCCCTGACGTAATCAAATAAGTAATTCAGAATATTAGCATAATTAATGACAATTATAAATATGGAATTACAATACTACATGTCATTAATTTTATTGCATTTTCTGCATAAATAGGGGGGGGCGGACTGGACAAAATGAGAATTCCTTGAAAAAATTTGCATATTTGTATCATTAATTACACAAAAGTTAAGAATAACAATAGATATCATAAATGTGACTACCAGTATACAGTCTTGTAATATACATGATGGGACACAGACACGCCAAGCTTGGTCAAAATATGTCGATAAATCTGTCGATGAAAACAAACAAAAAAATTTAAAAAATGTTTATACAAAACAAAAAATCATGAAAAAAAATAATGACAAAAAAAAAATGACCCTCGGTAATGGTGTAATGTGTGTAATTAGTGACATACAGTCCTCAAGAGGGCGACATGCATTGATCAAAAATATATTAATTTCACCAGCTGGTAAAATATAACCGGCCAGGAAAAAATTGATATCACGTGACAAGCTCTGGACCGATCACATCTCGGTATCTGTCTAAGCTATCTAATATATACATTTACAACACTCTGAAAATGGAAATTTAAGAAAAATGTGTCCCTTCAAGTTGAAGATTCGCCCTTCATACTCTTTTTCTTGAAACAATTAAAACTTTATTAATGAAACCGGAATATTTTTTGTTCAGCTTTTCAATGATCATGTTTAATTATATAACTCATTGACGGAACCCAATGCAATGACACGAAGGTCTATTGGTTAATAATTATTTAATGCACGTGGAATATTTTAAATGTCCCCCTTTTCCTTTTGTAGATATCAACGAATGTGATCTATCTTCAGATGTTTGCCGTAACGGAAACTGTACAAACACTGATGGAAGCTACTACTGCACTTGTAATGAGGTTTTCGAAGGAACAGGAAACGATTCTTGCTCAGGTAATTACTATTATACCATTAGTATAGTAGTAGTATTAATAACAGTAGTTGCAGTCGTAGTATTGGTAGTCGTTGCTGTTGTTGTAAGTTATAATAGTAGTAGTAATATTAGTGTAGTAGTAGTAGTAATATTTGTAGTAGTAGTAGAAGAAGTCAGGGGCGTCAATGCATTTTATATTTAGGGGCAATGAAATATGATTGTCTAAGTAGAGCAAGCAGAGCGTTAAACTCACTTCGCTCGCTCGCAAATAAATATTCAGCCCAACTGCAAAAGAATCATGCTTAGTATCTTGGACCATGTAAAGAGAGAAACAAACATTGAAATCATCCCTGATAATGTTATTACAATGTCTAAAAAATATATATTTTCGCTTTGAGATTTCCCTTTGTAGGTGCCCCCTTTTTCCAGAAAATGCCCTTTTTGGTGCGCTTCCCTCCCCCACTTTGAAATACGCTCCGCCGCATCTGCCTCGACCTCATGCCGTTTAACGCTCTGCTTGCTCCGCTCTTGGGTTCTCAGACTTTAAAACGCATAGATTTTCTTCCAGTTGTCAAACCAGTGTTGTTTCAGTGATACATAATTATACCCTACTTTACCTTCACGTTTTTGTTTGATAGCCAGGCTTGCTAGCCTTTTACAATAGGCCTTTATTGAAATAATATTATTCTTATCAGGTGAATGAAATAATTTGTATTGAGGCACTTCACAAAGACTTATGCATTAATTTGGTTACAGTACGAAAATGGTCCATTGTACAACGATACAACTTTTCCGTCGAGTTTAGGGAACAAACGCTATTATGGCTGAGAACGGTCATGAAAATCAACAAGACGGAGAAAATTCTGGTTAGCACATGCGCACATTGATTATTTTGCTCGGTTACCCTCGTATTTGCCTTCCGTCGTGTTTGCGGAAGCGCTGTATATACAGGTTACAAATGCAGACGGGAGCATAGTACAGGACAATCTCGGTTGAGTGAATTCTCCCGTCTTTGCCTTCCGTCGCGTTGCTAAGGCGCCCTAGAATACACAGAATACTGATACTAGTGGTACTTCATTGGGAGCAGCGTAATCTGCGCTCGCCCATACTTTACCCTTGGCCACGTTCATTGTTCCGTTTACGTAACTTATTTCTTATTTTCTTTCAGATATCAATGAATGTCTCGGAGCTCACAATTGCAATCAGACGTGCCTCAACTCAGCTGGAAACTTTTCGTGTTCTTGTCGTCCTGGGTTTGAGCTTCATGATGATGGGTTCACATGCAATGGTAAGTTTCTTTTACTTTTTTTTATTCAGAAAGCAATAAATAAGTGAGGACAACAAAATAAGACAATGCAGAAGTTTCATCAAATGCTATATGAGCTATTAAATCTGAAATAAAAACTAATCAAAATAATTGCCAAGCTTTTCTTTTTAAGGCAATATTATACTCGGTCTTCTGCTTCATCATTTGATTGTTCCTGTTTCAAACCATGATTAAAGCTATTCGCGTGGATAAAATCATGATTAAAGCTATGCGCGTTGATAAAATCATTTATCATGTTCCTGGCAATCAAATGCGAAAAGAAATTGTGAAACTTCTACACCCTTTTCAGTCTGTACCAACTAAAATATGTTGCGTGTAATGTAGACAAAGGAGGATGACTTTGAAATACTTTGCCCGAAGTTAAAATCAGTAGTCTGCGCATCTAGTGGACCCTTTCTACCATGTCTGCCAAGGCGATTTATGTGTTAGAGAATATTTCTTCCCACATTCATACGATACAAACGTGATAAAAAATATACAAGTTGTATGTAATCTTCCTAAACCCTCTCTATACTATGCTGTCACAAAAGAAAGAAGACTTTATTTCAATTGACAGACTGCCAAGTAAAATTCAAAGATGGGAGGGTGTTCAATATTTGTGTGCACTTCTGAGAGAAACTACACTCCTCTTGATTTTGAGTTGACACATGGAAAATGGGAGTGTTCATCTAAAGGCTGGCTCACACTTTGACGAATAGGAGGGTACCACAAGCTACGTTAAGCTGCGAATTGCAATTTTGAATTTCCTGCCAATCATCGTGTGTTGCCTTCAATTGTCGCTGACGAATCCGCTAGCGACCGCAGACTGCCGGAATTACCAGTCGCGTCCGTCTGCAAATATATCAAGTTAAAAATTTTGTGGCGGCAAAAAAATTGCTGTGATTCCATTCAGATTTCGTTGGAGACCTCAACCCTCATTTCCTTAACCCTATTTTGCCCGGGCTATTTTGAAACTGCATATAATAACCAATGTTTTATCTCTTTATTTGTAAAATGAGATTTCCATATGTTTTGTACACAAATCACAAAAATGAGCGATTTTCGGGCTGACATGCAACGACAAAAGGACACGTGACTTTCTAATGGTAGGTCCGATTTTCAAAAAAATTCTTTCAAAAGATGCGCAAGACTCGAAAGAAAAAAGCCACAAAATTTCGGTGCAAAATTTTCTTGCGATAAAAAAAGATTGCGGAAAATGTCGAGGGGGGTGGGGGCTAAATAGGGTTAACCCTATTTAGCCCGGGCTATTTGGAAACTGCATAGCCCGGGGGGCTTCTAAGACCCCCCCCCCCCCCCCCCATGATCTCGGTCGTGAAACGGCCGATCGCCGCCAAAATTTGCATGCATGTCAAGTGAAGTGTATAAAATATTATGGTAATTTCATTATTTTTTTTTTAATTCACTAATTTGCATATTTATGGTAATTTATGCAAATATGGTAATAACATTCACATCTTTATCCATAAATCAAATATTCTTCATATTTAAACATTAATTTTCCCTACATATATTATTTAGACCCTTTGGGATAATAATACAGCCAACAAAATTGGAAAAGCCAGGTTATTCCTTATCTTATGTATTATTTTAATAATTTCTTATGTATTTCTTTGTTTTTTAACTCGTGTATTTCATTGTTTTTGTTGTTTTATTTCATTTCCAACTATAATTCAACTATTTTGACCCCAAATAAACACCTAAACTGTAAACAAGACCAAATAACCAATGTTTTATCTCTTTATTTGAAAATGAGATTTCCATATGTTTTGTACACAAATCACAAAAATGGGCTGATAAAAGGACACGTGGCTTTGTAATGGTAGGTCCGATTTTCAAAAAAAATCTTTCAAAAGATGCGCAAGACTCGAAAGAAAAAAGTCACAAAATGTCAGTGCAAGATTTGTTTGCGTTAACAAATTATCGCGAAAAATGTCGAGGGGGGGGGCTAGAAACTCACAAATATGTCAACTAATGTATCCCTTGAAACTGGTAAGCTAACAGATGGCCGTCGTACAAGTTTTAGGTCAACTACATAATTTGCGTTAACAAATTAACGCGAAAAATGTTGAGGGGGGGGGGGGGCTAGATAGGGTTAAAGTGAAAATTCAAAGAAACTCAAAATATGTCAACTAATGTATCCCTTGAAACTGGTAAGCTAACAGATGGCCGTCGTACAAGTTTTAGGTCAACTACATATCGGGTGATTTATAAAATTAGAAATACAACCACCTCCATAGCAGCTGGGATATATGAGAGATTCGCCAGAAACATAACAATGTTTTAATAACGTCACAATGTGGACCAATACTGCCCAAGCAGACGACATCCCGTAAAGAGTGAACATAATTGCAAAGCTATTATTTGTCAAATTATAATGAGTTTAGTGTATATAAATGTGATGGCATTTCAAACCATTCAAAAGGTATATAAACCGATTCTGATAACTAAAATATTTTGATTGTAAATACACAGGATAGGGATTAATTACCAATCAAAGAAAACCAGACTTTCAAGTTAAAAAAAACCCTTTGTTCCCTCTTGAAACGCCGAACAACAGCAGCTGAATAAACAATGGGACATATTTTGTTTACAAGCGACAGATTCCTTTATTTTTGTATCGCTGCATTTGTCATGAAAATAAAACCTTGCGCGGGTTTAAAGTGAGGCAATAGATTATACATTTAGCCTGACGGCAGTGAAGTAAGAGAAAGAACTCAAGAGAAGATGAAAAAACAGGCACTGACAATGTGTGAGATGTCATGGGACATCGTCTGCTTGTGCAAATCATGTCTATAATGTTATCTCACACATCTCAGCAGCGTTCGGAGAGCTCTTCAGGTTTCTATGCCGGAGCTGTATTTAAGCGTTTTTTTTTAATTTATAATAATCTTTACTTCGAATGTTTCCAAGCATTTTATTTTGATAACCTTGTCGGATCAAAGTTTCAACTTTGCAATAATGAAAATAAAGTTAGTTTTTAAAATCAATGAATATCTACTTTAACGTTTCTATGCTGTGCGATTCCATCTTTTTGAGGTCGTCACAATTTTGTTGGTAGTCGTTGTTAACGACGGCAAGTGACGTCACATCTCGAACCCTGAAGACACATTGCGGCAAGTAACGGAAGTGTAACGACCTTGGCGTGACGATGGATTGCAATTTTCGGCCGAAGGGTGACGACTGTTGATGTCGGGTCGTTTCCAAGTACCTGCAAAACTGCAACGGTGGTCTGCGATGGGTTATGATTTTGCAACGAAGGTCCACGATTTTAAAATTTTAGTGCGACTCTCCACGTTTTGTTACGTTAGTTGATTTCAATAGACTGTCCGGCATGATGCAATTTTGAAGTTCATATAAAAAGAAACTGTCAAAGCTGTTTCATCATCATGGAGGACGGAGCTAGGGTCAGGCTGCAATATGCCTCGCCGCAACCTAGCGTCAGTCGCCGTTCCTTTGCCACCAGCCAATCCGCTGCCAGCCGTCTGACCTCGTTCCTTGTTGCCGAGCTTCGTCGAGACATCGTCACTCGCCTCCTTGACAACGTTTGACTTTGGTCGCTAGATTCCCTACCCTGTCGCAGCCATTCGTCCCTTGCCTTCGTGTTGTCGCTGAAGGTCGTTTCTACCCGTTCTTGATTTTCCCCTTTTGCCGTCGCTTTGCCGCCTAAATTTTGTGATTTTCATATCCGTCGCCTTTTGCGGGGTCTTTGCCGCTACTATGTGAGCCAGCATTTTAAGAGCAGAGTTGATATTGTAATTCCTTCAATGAATGACTTTATTTCACACATTGATTCCATGACACGGACATTTCTGGGTCCATTTTACCCCTAAATGAAACAGCATTCACTTTACTTACCCTCTTTTATAGCAGAGACACATCAAGGTTGTCGGACAATCAGATTTGTTTCGTAAAATAATTTCTTTCCAAGGCCTCAATGTTGAAATGATTCAAACATTAATAGAGATATTTGGTTATTTACTTCATTTTATTTATATATTGATAGTTTTTTCAAATGAAGTAATTAATACCCAAAGTGTCATTGATTTGCATTATACCAGTTTTTACTTGATTTCCCTGTATCCACCTGTATCTGTCTTTTTAACTCAATTTACTCAGATATCGACGATTGTTCTACCACACCTTGTATGAATGGAGGGACTTGTGCTGATGGAGTAAACACCTTTACTTGTTCCTGTGTTGATGGCTATAACGGGAGTATGTGTGAAACAGGTATTAAAGCTGTTAAGTCAAATCGGATTACTTACCTACATACATACACGTTTTCTATGTAGAGCAATTGATCCTTGCTTATAGAGAAAAAAAAGTAAATTAATGAACAAAAGCAAGTAAAAAGAAAAAACATTTAATCATTAGAGAGGAAATTTGTATACAGTTTTTTCTTAATTCAATGTCAACAGAAGTGCAAGCACAGACACAAGACGGAGCATGTTTCATATTTTGGTGCAGTAAAGAGGGAAATTACACTCCTCTTGATTTTGAGTAGACACATGGGAAATGGGAGTGCATGGTCATTTAACCATCAATGGCTCCGGGGGAGGGGGGGGGGGACTAAATTAATCTTGAGCTGAAAATTCATGACTTTTTCTTTTACATCTGGTGCACATTTTAAGACCCTATTTACCAAAATCCGGATACGTTTGTAAAGATATAAAATATCTTAAGTACCAAAATGTATGCCCAGTGGCATTAATTTATTGTCTTTGGAACTCACAGATATCGACGAATGTGCTTCCGATCCGTGTACGAATGAAGAAGATTGTACTGATGGATTGAACATGTATACTTGTGCCTGTTCTCTTGGTTTTACTGGAACTCCGTGCGCAGGTAAGCTATCAAGTTATAGCAGATTACATACAAACACCTACCTTACATAAAGCAAATGCTCCTTTCTCATCAAGACATTATAAATGCCCAGGCTTTTATGCTTCGTATCAGCGTCATATTCAACTCTCGCTTCGCATCTCCACTCGATCAGCAATGAAAAGTCACAATGTTAATTTAGTTTAAGGGCTCTTTTTTAGTTGATTCAAAGTGACGGCCTGACGTACAAACTTCATGAATCATTCTATCTTCCCAATTAAAAAAGTGTGAATCAAGCTTCAATGTCAAACATAAATGAGAAGGTTGACAAATTGTAAGTCTACCCCGGTTCTATCGCTATAAATAGTCCACTTCGTCACAAAATTATGTTTTTTACTCTTTGGATTATAACACAAGATGGCGCTATTCAATGAAATCAGCACTAACGTTCCGGCTCCTTAATTTCTATGAGACAAGTCGCTGAAATTTTACTCCAAACTTCAATTTGTTAACAATCTACATCCATAACTACATGAACAATTTTGAAAAATGAACACTTATTTTCATATATTGCAAAAATGTGCAAAACAAAGCTTTCATTCTTAGCATGCGATACTTTTAAAATTGATGGTACTTTCTAACTAGTTCAGAATATAAACCTTTCAATGAAAAAAATGCTCAAGTAGTTGACTGTTTACTATATTTTGAAGATCAATGATAATGTAATCCATATCAACTATTTGTTATCTAGTTTCAAAACAATGTGTAGTTGTTGTCCAAAACACTGATTCTTCACAATATCCAGACTAGATTTTTTTTTTTTTCACCTGACGAATGAACATAACTATTCCTATCACAAAGTTCAGGACACATTAAACATTAAAAGAGATATTTAGTTCATTGACTTCATTTGAGTAATGTATTGATAGTTTTAATGAAGGATTTTATTCAATCCTTAACTGTCATTATTTGCCAGTTTTGACTTAATTTTCCTGTTCCACATCCTCTCCTGAGAATCAGACAATTTCTGTCTAGCAACCTCCCACGCCTTATGCATTCTCTCACGAAAAGTACTAACACATCACATCACATAACAGTCTCTCTTTCAGCAACTGCAATAGTCCACGTACGGAGTGACCGTACACCTATTCAAAAGAACTGAACCCAAGCGACTCTTGTACAGCATCTCGAAAAGCAAACAACAACAGGGAACTCCCTCATCCCTTTGTTTCTCTATTATGTTTTCATCATATTCTTCAAATTCTGGTGGAATCTCTCCTGGGCTCCCTGGGATTCGGGGTGGTACGCATTCAAAAAGACATGCTTTATTCCTAGTTCCTTCATCACCTGATTTGAACACCCTAGACATAAATTCTTGACCCTTGATCAGATTGTACAGTTTTTGGTAGCTCGACAGTAGTACCAAATTTCACTAACGACTTTGTCACATTATTTGCTGTTATGCGCCTCAGTGGTATTATTTCTGTATCTTGTCGCAGCGCACATGATTGGCAATAAGTATTCATTATCTGCCTTTGTGCTTAGCAGATTACCTACACAATCCACTATGATCTTAGAAAAGGCTCCTCGAATGCCGGTATTGGCTTCAATGGTGCTGCCAGTATTTTCTGATTCGGTTTGCCTTCAACTTGACATGCATGGCAACTTCTGCAAAATTTTGCAAAATCTTTTTTGCATACATGGCCAAAAGAAATGAAAAAGAATTTTCTCCTGGGTTTTGTGAACCCTTTAGTGACCTGCAAGTGGAGCTTCATGAGCAAGGCTAAGTATGTCCTGCCTGTATGTAGAAGGAACTATGATTTGGTGGACTTCTTTCCACACTTCACCTGCAGAGACATCTGCCGTCCTCCACTTTCTCCTTAGCACACCTGCTTTCTTGTAAAAACAAACAGGCACAGTCGATGCCTCCTCCTCAGAAACAGCTCTCTCATTCAAAGAAATCAACTGAGGATCTGTCTGTTGCTCCTCTAGCAATGTTCTCTTGTTCAAAGATAGCGGTTCAGATTTTCACTATTTCCTACACGATGACCCTTTCTCGCACTCTCATCCACGTTTGAATCAGACTCGTCCTCAACCAAACGACAATTCTGCAACCAACTAATCTGTCTCAGAACTTTCACAAGGACTTGAACTCACTCCTGGACACGACACTACTCTTTCACCAGCGAGATCATTACCTAATATGATGGATACCTCTTCCACAGGAAGTGATGGTCTAACTGCCATATTCACATACCAGAAACACGGTCCGACTTCAAGTCTACCACATGAAGGGGCGCTTTCACAAAGCCGTCGCCAATGACTTTGAGCAAAACACTAGCACCAACAGAAGAACTATCACAAAAGGGCAACGCACTTTTCAAAATCAAGGATTGAAAAGCACCAGTAACTCAAAATACTTTCACTTTTCTAGCTACATTACTCTCTGGTAAAAACACATATCCTACAGACACAAATGGTTCACACTCTTTCTGAAGTTTGTTTATGTTTGCTGGTTCAGTTCTACTTTTTCAGTTTGACGTGGTTTTCTAACAATGCATTAGGATGTGCACCAAATTCCTTTTCCTTTGCTTGAAGCGAAGTACACTTTGACTTTAGGTGCCCATACTGTTTGCAAGCATAGTACATTCCTTCCTTTGTTGCATGACCTTGCTGGGACTGACACTATGCTTTTATTTCAACTTTTCTTTGTGATGAACTTGTTTTCATGCTTTTGTTCCAGTATCCATTTCTCTCAAAGTGTCTCGGTAACATTGTTGAAGGCTGATGGAGAAACTTCGTAATTTTTGTATGAAATGTTACTTATTATATTTCTTTTACTGTACTTAACTTCTAACAGGCAACAAATTTTGAAGGAGTCACTGTGCAACATCCTCTAACAATGATTAACAATAAATTCTCCCAATCATTTTTGAATTTCCCAACCGTTTTTCCATGAAAATAAGACATAGGACAGGCTTTTAAAAACCTTACAACACTTAATTGTCTGGAATGGTATGTAGAGCAAATTCATTGCCTTGTGAGGATAAACATTCACCTAAAATGTAATTAATTTGTAATAATATAGTTGGGAGAATTATATAATTGATCAGATCAGTTTTTTCCTATTTTTATCAATATAATACCCTTTTTTCACTAAAACTTTCAGATTATCTTAAATTGTACATCTAGCATTGAAGTCACTACCTTACAGGCGCGTACACAGGGGGGGGGGGGGTTTGGGGGGGGTTAAACCCCCCCCTTAGGTATTTTTTTTTGTGTAAACCCCCCCCCCCCCCCTAAATTTCTCGAAAACCCCCCCCCCCCTCCTTTTGTATTTTTTTATTATTTTTTATTTTTATTTAAAAAAAATAATAAAAAATATTCCCATGGTTGACCTAAAAAAGCTGACCTTACCCCCCCCCCTCCCCCAACGGCGCAAAATGTAAAATTTTCAAATTTCGAGACCCCCCCCCCCCCCCCCCCCCCCCCCCCAATAAAAAAAAAAAAAAAAAAAAAAGTGTCCTCTCACCCCCCCCCCCCCCCCCAAAAAAAAAAAAAAAAATGTGTCCTCTTACCCCCCCCCCCACCCCCCCCAAAAAAAAATATATATATATTCCCATGGTTGACCTAAAAAAGCTGACCTTCCCCCCCCCCCCCCCCAAAAAAAAAAGTGTCCTCTTACCCCCCCCCCCCCCCCCCCCCCCCCCCCCCCCCCCGCTTATTCAGCGGTCGGCTGAGTCGTTGCGATTTTTTTGGGACCAAAAAAAAAAAAAAGTGACCACTTACCCCCCCCTCCCCCCCCCCCTTTCCCCCCCCCCCCCCCCCGCTTATTCAGCGGCTGGCTGAGTCGTTGCGACATTTTTGGCCCGATTTATAAATGTTAACCCCCCCCCCCCCCCCCCCCTTGAAAGAATCCTGCGTACGCGCCTGCTACCTTATCACCATTTTCTCTCCTCTAAACAATGTAACTTGGTCCCTTAAGTTCAAAGTTTGCTTTAAGTTTTCGTGCTTGAGCACGTAATCATCCGCAATTCTTGCTACTTCCAGCATATCGACATGTTGCTCCTCTAGATGTGTCCGAATATCCAGTCACATGCTGCGCTTACATTTTTCAAGAAGAATTATTTCACGCAATTTACCATAATTATGATCTACATGGAGAGATGAGCTCCATCTGTCAAACAAGTGCTCTTTTTGTTTTGTACGCTTCGGGTACAAGTTCGTAAACTTTTAGAACGCTCGATTTTACTTTATCGTCATCCGACACGTCGGTCATTGACATCGCAAAGTAGGCATCCCTAGCCTTACCGCTAAGCTTACTCTGAATCAGGTGAGCCCGCATTTCCTGGAGGCCACCCCATGCTTTGAGCTAATTTCTCAGTGTGGAAAGTACTTTTCCACTCCTTCCTCCTCGAATGGAGGGACCATTCTGACATTCTTTGCAATGTCAAAATGCCTATTAGCATTTCTGATCTCTTTTCTGTTCACGGCAACCATTTTCTCTCTCTCCAACTCTAGCTCTTTTTTTCTCACTTCATCCGATACTAAAGACCTAGCCTGAGAATCTAATTCTGGGGACCAAAATAGACAAACCTCCTCTGCCACCAGAAACTTGACAACCTTGTCCAAAAAATCTGACTTCAGCATGAAGCGTTTGATACCTACAATCTCATGAGTTGCTACAACTGATAATTCACCTTTTGTTAACGAGTGTAATCATTCCATAGACGGATCCCTATTAAACAAACTCTTCCAACGAGAACTCGCTAGCCATCATGCAAAAACCAAGTTTTGTATTATGTAGAAAATCATACTTTCTTTGTCTTATTTCCAGTTTCATAACCATGCAGCCTCAAACAACATCTAGTGCCACCTCACAATTTTGTAAAGAAATAGGTTTAATGAAACAAATTCACAAATATTGTTTTCTTGACCAATAAGTACCCAAAAATGAATTAAGCAAGGATGACATTACTTGCGTTTGTATTTACAGGATATAATGAATTTGAATTGAATTACAGAGATTGTAGAAGTAAACAAAATAAATTATTACAATATTTGTTTATTTTGTTAATAATTTTTTGTCTCTAAAAATTTGTTGTGCCTTACAATAATAGCATAGGGTTTTAACTTTTGCTCTGCCGATGTCATATATATGAGAGCCTATTAATGTTCTTGTTTTAATCTCATTTATTTTCTTTGTAAGCTTTGACTAAACGTTTAATTTACCAGTTTTCTCAAAACTCAAATTGGCAATTTGGTCTGTAGATTGAAATGTATCTACTATTTACAATCAACTGCGAAGAGAGTTTGTCATTTTTTGGGAAAGAGTGTGTTCTGACAAAACACTGTTGCTTCCAAAAGTCAACGTACATGTATTTTAGAAATGTATTTATCGTGGAACACAATACTGCAACATTCAGATGTGATGACGTTTATATATATAGTTTTGTATTATGTAGAAAATCATACTTTCTTTGTCTTTTTTCCAGTTCCATCAAGTGCCACAACCATGCAGCCTACAGCAACACCTAGTGCAACCTCACAACTTGGTAAAGAATAGGTTTAATGAAACAAATTCACAAATATTGTTGTCTTGACCGATAAATACCCCAAAAATACTTGCGTTGGTATTTACAGGATATAATGAATTTGAATTGATTTACAGAGATTGTAGAAGGGGTCAAACAAGCTGTCTCCACACAGCGTACCAATTCTGCGTTTAGAAAATAAATGAATACAATAATTGTTTCAATTCTTTTAGATTTGTATGCCTCCGCTACAAACTGCGTGTAGTCGAACATCCATCTAGTTTGTCTCTGAAAATCTGTTGTGCCTTGCAATAATATCATAGGGTTTTAACTCTTGCTCTACTGATGTCAAATATATATGAGCCTATGAAAGCCCTACTGCACTATTTGCAGCTACTTGCTCCCTCTATATAGAAAATTTCCCCAATCGGTGCCTGTCGGTCCCCCATGATCCTCTATTTCTTATGTAATTTGAGAGCTGAGTTGATGAGATAGCCACCTGCAGGTGACCTCGCTGTGTGGTCTAATCCCTTCTGGCCAAATTAGTACAGATGACCTTTAATGTCCGTTTATGTTTTATATCTTTTTTTTTTCTTTATAAACTTTGTCTCAGTCAACAATATATATGAAAGTGAAACGATTTTTTTGAGATAGCTAACTTATGTCACACGCAAGCCATGGTCACACCACCATTCATGAGTTTAGCTAGTAAGCATTGTTTATGTTTAAGTAAGATCTTGAAATTCATTAAAAACCCTTTGCACAGCAAAAGTTAAAGAGCAATTCGACGACTGGACTTTATATTATTTGTGTGAAAGCATTGGACAAATATTAAGAAAATTGTAAGTGTTTGAAATATGAGATCACTAAGTCTATGCAAACGTCGAATTGGCAATTCAGTTGGTGGATTGTGATGTATTCACTATTTACCCACCTACCTGGCTTCCACCATCAGTTGCTGACGGTTTTCGACCACATCTGCACATCTTTATTCTTTCCTTCTCTATTTACAACCAATTGCAAAGAGCTTTGTCATTTTCAAGGAAGGGGCTTGTCCTGACAAAACAATGTTGCTTCAAGAATTAACTTCTATGTATTACAGATATGTATTTATCGTGAATCACAATACTGCAACATTCAGATGTTGATTATTTTTATATATAGTTTTGTATTATGTAGAGAATCATACTTTCTTTGTCTCTTTTCCAGTTCCATCAAGTGCCACAACCATGCAGCCTGAAACAACACCTAGTGCAACCTCACGACTTGGTAAAGAAATAGGTTTAATAAAACAAATTCACAAATATTGTTGTCTTTACTGTTTCATATACAAACAAATTAATTTAGCAAGGATAGAATTACTTGATTTTGGTAAGGATATAATGAATTTGAATTGATTTACAGAGATTGTAGAAGAGGTCAAACAACCTGTCTCTACACAGCTTACCATTGATGTGTTTACAAAATAAATGAATATAATATTTGTTTCAATTTTTTCTGATCTGTATGCCTCTGCTACAAAGTGCGTGTAGTCAAACATATCCATCTAGTTTGTCTCTGAAAATCTGTTGTGCATTGCAATAATATCGTAGGGTTTTAACTCTTGCTCTACGGATGTCATTTGTATGAGAGGCTATTAATGTCAGTTTATGCTTTTCATTATATTTTTTATTATTTGTAAACTTTGTGTGATCCATTAATATACACGTGAGTGAAACAGTTTTTGAGATACCAACATTTAATAGGTCACGCACGAACTATGGTCACACCACCATTCGTGAGTTTAAGAAAGAAGCATTGTTTATGTTTTAGTAAGATCTTGAAACTCATTAAAAACCCTTCGCACAGTAAGAGTTAAAGTGCAATTCAACGATTGGACTTCATATTTTTTGTTTGAAAGCATTGGACAAATATTAAGAAAATAGTAAGTGTTTGAAATATGAGATCACTAAGTCTATGCAAACGTCAAATTAGCTATTTAGTTGGTGGATTGGATTGTATTCACTATTTACCCACCTACCTGGCTGCCACTGTCAGTTGCTGACGGTTTTCGACCACATCTGCACATCTTCATTCTTTCCTTCTCAATTTTCAATCAACTGCAAAGAGCTTTGACATTATCAAGGAAGGGGCTTGTCCTGACAAAACAATCTTGCTTCAAAAGTGAACTTCCATGTATTATAGAAATGTATTTATCGTGGATCACAATACTGCAACATTCAGATGTTGATCATGTTCATATATAGTTTTGTATTATGTAGAGAATCATACTTTCTTTGTCTCTTTTCCAGTTCCATCAAGTGCCACAACCATGCAGCCTGAAACAACATTTAGTGCAACCTCACAACTTGGTAAAGAAATAGATTTAATAAAACTAATTCACAAATATCGTTGTCTTTACTGTTTCATATACAAACAAATTAATTTAGCAAGGATGCCATTACTTGCGTTGGTAAAGATGTAATGAAATTGGTTTGATTTACGGAGATTGTAGAAGAGGTCAAACAAGCAGAAGCAAAAAAATAAATACAATGTATTTTAGAATCTTTTATGTTTTTTGTCTCTCAAGATCTATTGTGCCTTCCAGAAATATTATAGGAGTTTTAACTCTTGCTCGGCCAATATGCCTTAAACACGCAAACTATGGTCACACCACATGTGTATTTATATCGTGCCAAAAACAACGTTCCGTGCATGCGTTGGCGTGCCACGCTCCCGTAATCGGGTTTCTTGTCGCTTGCCATGTACACATAAACTCCCATTCGCTCGCGCGCCACGTACACATTTTCATGCATAAGTACACACACTAATTGTTTATGCCTATTGTACGATGCAAATTGCGCGCACACATGAAAGCTTATTGTATTTGTGTAGAGGGTTTACTGTTGTTTCGATTTTGCGTGCTTCACTGTACCGTAACATTAGATATTTCTGAGAAAATTGCGATATTTTATCATGAAATTTGTCAGTTTGATCATGGTTGTGTGCGAAAAATCAGACGACGGATTGGTTTGACAACTCACCGACAGTGCTTATTTACTTTAGCAAAATAGCAAATTCCTGAAATGATATTGGTATCAACGGAAAGATGGTTAAATTTCTTACAACTTTAATGTACAATTTTCGTTTATACAACATACGGATAAGAAGTTATAGTGGATCAAACATACAGTGTGAGTCAAAAACAAGTTTACACCTAGAAAATTGCTAATTATTTTTAAAATCATCTATGAACAGTAAATTATTATACATCTTATGAAAAAGTGTTTTATCCTGAATCATTTGGTACCAATTTTGTGTGGTATGCGTTCACGCTCGGATGAACAGGAGGCATTTTTTGCGAGAGTGCAAAAATCATCTTGCGCCAAAGTTGCTTATGCGATGTTGGAATAAAACAATCAAGATTTAGGTATTTATTCGGTCTTTGCAGATCCAAATAACATCCCTAACAAAATTAATCATGACACTCATATCAAATATCAACAAACGTTCGTGCGTGTGTGTGTGGGTGTGTGTGACTTTGCCCTTTGTAAAAAGCATATGCAATGCATTTCATTTGATACATTCAATTTATTCTCTCCGCTAATCCCAACATAATACATACTGTAGGCATCACTTTGGCGCAAGTCAATTTTTGCACTCTCGCAAACAATGCCTCCTGGTCATCCAAGCGTGAACACATACCACACAAAAATGATACCAAATTATTTGGAATAAAACACTCTTTCATGAGATGTATAACAATTTACTGTTCACAAATGATTTTAAAAATAATTAGCAATTTTCTAGGTGAAAACTTTTTTTTGACTCACACAGTAGTAACAATTTGAACTATTCAATTTAAACCCTAAAATGAATTTGGCACAGGTGGGATTAGTGGCTTGCACAATAGTGATTAGCACTGTGGCACTGGGTGCATTGTATGAGGGCAGCTTAAGAGTTAAGAAGGAAGCATTGTTTATGTTTTAGTAAGATCTTAAAACTCATTAAAAACCCTTAAAACAGTAAGAGTTAGAGGGCAATTCGACGATTGAACTTTATTTTATTTGTGTGAAAGCATTGGAAAAATATTAAGAAAATTATATGTGTTTGAAATACGAGATCACGAAGTCTATGCAACCCTTAAATTGACAATTTAGTTGGTGGATTGTGATGTATTCACTATTTACCCACCTACCTGGCTTCCACCGTCAGTTGCTCACGATTTGCGAGCACATATCTGCACATCTTTTTGTTTTCCTTCTCTATTTACAATCAACCTCAAATTGCTTTTTCATTTTCAAGGAAGTGGCTTCAAAAGTGAACTTCCATGTATTAAAGAAATGTATTTATCGTGGATCACAATACTGCAAAATTCAGATGTTGATCGTGTGTATATATATATAGTTTCATATTATGTAGAAAATCATACTTTCTTTGTCTCTTTTCCAGTTTCATCAAGTGCCACAACCATGCAGCCTCAAACAACACCTAGTGCAACCTCACAATTTGGTAAAGAAATAGATTTAATCAAAACAAATTCATAAATATTGTTGTGTTGACTATATCGTCGCTGTTTTCACGAAGTGACGGTAGTGAAAAAAAATTGCATTCACTTTGCGTTACGATTTTCCTCACTACCGTCACTTCGTGAAAACAAGGACGATATAATAAGTACCAAAAAAAAAGAATTAAGCAAGGATGGCAATACTTGCGTTATAATGAATTTGAATTGATTTACAGAGATTGTAGAAGAGGTCAAACAAGCTGTCTCCACACAGCGTCATTATTTATTATTATTTTTTTCATTATTATTATCATTATTATCATTGTTAATAGTATAACCATTTTTATTAAAGAAACTCGTAAGATTCACATTTTTTATTTTAACACTTTGACATAGATGAGTGTGCGACAGATACAAGTCTCTGTAATAATGGAAGATGTGTCAACTTGGATGGATCATACACTTGTGTCTGCAACGCTGGATTCACATTAGTCAATGCAAATTCTTGCAATGGTATGTCTAAATATAAGTTTGTCTTTTTCAATAACGAATAATATAGGTTTCATGCCCAACTTTGTAAACTTGAAATTACAGAAAGATAAAAACAAACAAATCAATATCAAGTTCATTCATGCAGAATTGAATGAAGGCATGATTTATTATCCAAATAACATTTGTTTTAGCTTTGGTGCAAGTGATTTCATACTTACATATTTCAAACGTGTGTAACCACTTTTCAAATTAAACCAACAAAATGTGGGGAGCATTCGAATTCGTGCCAGACAGAATGTGGTAGAAATTTGGCCATTTAGTCTGGTGAATAGGCATGCATTTGTGAAATATGTTTAATATATTTCATCTAATGTTAATTGGTCAAACATAATATAAACAGTTATGGCCCAGTCATACCAAGACGTTTTAGAGAAACTTATAGCTAGCATATGAAATTTCATGAAATAATGTCAAAACGTCGGCATATGCCCCCCAAAACATTGAAAATTCTGCAGCATGAATACTTCGGGCGTATGCATAACATATTGGACGTATACATATCGTATGTCTAACCTATTAGTAACCTATCACTAACTTATGACAGTGTATGACAGCGAATCACAGCGTATGGTCAGCTCATGTCTAGCATTCTCGACCTATGCCCAACGTATGAGTAGCTTATGAGAAAACTATGCGCAGCGCTCGACGTGTTGCCGAAGATCACGTGACGTTCTGCATAAATACGGCGCCGATTTCTACAGTACTGCATTTATACAGTAGTCGGCGAGCTATCAACATCAAAATGGCACCCGAGAAATTGCAAAAGACCGCAACCAAGAAGTCTGTCAGTAGCTGAGGTAGAGGCAAGAAGAACCCATCTACGCCATTATCCTCGCCTTCATCCTCGCCTTCATCGTCTAAAGCCGCCGATTCACTTGCTCATGATATCCCTGCTGTGCCCCATACCGGCCGCTCGCAATCACCATGCTCTCCTCCTTCCGATGATGGTTTCTGTGCCTCCCGTGCCTCTTCTGTTGACTCAGTTGCTGCATATGTTGCCTGAAGCTCCTTCCACCAGCCTGATGACAAGACCAAGAAGAAGAGGAGGGCCAAAAAGACTCTTTGCTCCCTGTCAGTGCAAGATGAGGAGCTCATGCTTGAATTCCTCCAAGACAATCCTGTCCTCTGCAACATGAAGTGGATGAACTACAGGAGGACTGACAAGACAAACAAAATATGGGATGACCAGGCACTGCAGATGGGCAAAACTTCAGAACTCCTCAGGGGATGGTTTAAGTCACTCAGAGACAACCACACACGCCTTGACATGAAGAAGAGTGGAAATGGTGCTCCTGAGCTCACCGAGAGGGAAGAGTGGATCATGGCAAAGTTTGGATTCCTGAAAACCGTCATCCGACACCGTCCTGAGCCCTGCAAAAGTGTAAGTATAAAACAGTTTACTATTTTGGGGGCCTTGTTCTTTTAAAGGCGATTCGATTTGCATATATTGTTCGTACCACCTACAGCTTCCATACTTGCACAAGTTGATTATGACTACCGTAGCTTGCCTACCGTACTTGTTCAGCTTCATCTACTTAGCCAATTCCACCGCTAAGTTTTCGCATTTAATTGTTTATGTCCTCGGTCAGGGGATAGCTGCCACACTCTGATGGCTATTGTTTCGTATTTGTCTTTGCAGGTGAAGGCCACTATTGACTCACTTGTCGGAGACCTAGATGCTGCTGAGGCTGCCTGTGCCGAGTGGCAAATTAGTCCAAAGGAGGTTAACATCATCCCTACCATCCCTTCAGCCTCACGGCGCAAGCAGGCTCAGTACGACAACGGCTCTCTCCTGGAATCCCTCCAGAAGAGAGTGCAGGAGTCTGGTGAGATCCTCAAAGGCCTCAGCGATGCACACCAGCAGCCACCTACGTCCGTGACAGCTTGATCAGCATGTCCAAGCCCAAGTTCAGGAAGCCAAGATCAGCTATCAACAAGATACTGTCGCGGTCGATGGAGGAGGACAGTGATGATGACATCCCAAGTTTCATGGGAGACCCCGCCTTGCCTGAACCACTACCTCACAACTCGACACCATCCTCGTATTCTGTCTCATCACCATCCTGAGATGTACCAACCACCTCCCCCACATATGGAGGCACAAGGCGCCACCTGCTTCAGTCTGGGGTTCACAAACACATGAACACATGCAGCAAACAATGCAGTATCAGCAGCGTTTTGCTCCGAAAATGATGCCCCCTCCTCCCTCTACCTGCAAACCAGCAGCAGCAACAATAGCATCATCAGCGCACTTCCACCTCAGTGTCTGCGGCTTTGGGATCGGCTGACCAGAGCTCAACCCCCCTTCAAGACAGCCCTTACCTTTCGACCATGTCCAACCTTTCTGGATGGAGTGGATTACTCCTGGGGTGGAGATGGAGGATGTGGATATGAAAACATCACCACCAGCAAAGAAATAACCATCAGTGACTGTACCGACTGTTGTGCCGTCCTAGAGATGAGCAGTGACTGTGTTTTATATGATGTTCCATTATTACCCTCATTATCATGATTATCATATGCCAATCTTATTGATCAGTTGATCATTTCAATAAAAGTTTAATAAGTTCTAAGTTTTATTTATCTTTTTTTCATAAGACACATTACAAATATGACATGAATATAACAATTTAACAGAATATGGCGTTACAATAGATAAACTATTTATATACAAATCAATAATTATGAATATACAATATTCAGAAAATAGTATCAATTCTTCAAAGTTCATAAAATATGTTTGTGAAATGCATGGGGAAATCAAGTTTTGGGGGATAAAAGGCAAATTAATGGGATTAAACTATATAAAGCAATTGATAAATAGTGAGGACAGGACGTCACAAACTGATAACCAAATTAGTAATTTGTGTAGTAATTTCCATTGTTCCATAGTTTTACATCCTTTTTCCGAAATTCATAACTTTCTTTTTAGTTATCTGATTTTTCTCAAACTTTTTTTGATTGGTTTGTCTGATTTTTTCTGCTTCTATTGAAAGTAAGTTATTTTTGTAGTGGACTTGTACTTTAAGTCATGTATGTATCTTGCAGAGCCAATGAACATATGATATGTTGGGCTTACAAGGTCAAGGGTCAAATGTCACATGACTCGTTATGTATGCAAAAATAGCTTGTGATCGCGTTATCTCAAGAACAAATTAATGGATTACCGCCACACTTGGGTCATGTATGTATCTTGCAGAGCCCATGACCTGATACGATTTTAGGGTAATGAGGTCAAAGATCTAAGGGTCATACATGTATATGGAAAATAGCTTGTAATCACCATATTCTGAGAACCTGTGAATGGATTACAATCAAGCTTGACTTTTCAAAATTGCTTCTATTTTGGTTTGTAAAATCGCTCTATGGCGGAGGCATCATTTTCGACTGCGTGTAGTTGAAGATCCATCTAGTTGTTCATGTGTTTTCCCGAACTCAAAAATGTAAACTTTAATGTGTCACTTCCCTCAGAAATGTAAATCGGGCCAAAACTATTTTTGTCATGTATTTATCAACATATAAAACTTGGTATTTAAGGGTATGAATAATTTAGATCTTAACTGTACAAGTACATGAATGAAAATTAATTGATACAACCCCTTATGAATCATCCGACGAGGCTGGTCTTGCAAATATTTTACACATTCCATGCGTATTATGAAAATCTTGTTTGATGTAAGTACGCAAACGAGTGTATTAATTATTTTTGTTCATGGACGAAACACATTAAAATATCCATACATATTTTGACTTCATGCCATTTGTTTCTTTCTCTGTATATCCAGCTCTCTCAAGCAGTCTGTTTACTAGTCGAGTGACTGTGCAGATTACAGGACAAAGTCTGAATGGTCAAACCCTGACGTATACATCAGAATTAAGAGATAGGACATCGGCCAAATTCATGGAATATGAAGTTGCATTCTGTTACATTGTAAGTATATCTTTCTTCACTAGTAAATGCAAGAAAATTGACGACAATGTAGTAGACGCAAATATGTACAAGTGGTGCCTCTTCAGCTTGCAAATCCAACACACTACATAATCATCATTATATATCACATTAAGATGTCCATACAAATGTCAGGTAGTGCAGTAGTCTACTGGAATTTTGTAATTAAGTGTTGGTTCCTCCTGAACAAATGCTACTTGTAGATCCATGAAATAAAAGAGAGAATATACTTGTAGTCCTTTTTGTATGCCTCCGCCACTGAAGATGGTGAGAAAGACATTTTTTTATTATCTTGCCCGTCCGTCCGTCCGTTCATCCCATTTTAACAAAACTTGGCTGAAATATGTACAAGTATGAGTATGAAAAGTTGAACTGACTATATTTTTGGTGTTAAACTCGAAGGTCAAATGGCACAGGCTCATCAGTGTGTTTTCAAATACCAAAAATGTATCTTGTTTATGCAATAACTTGAAAACACACTGTAGCAATTCACACCATACTTGGATGAAGTATGCATGAGCATTCAAAGGTGAACTGATTGGATCTTAGGTGAAAGATGTCAAAAGTCAAGTGGTCATGAAAGCGTTAAACTTACCAGAAAATATATCTTCACTGCAATAATGGGTTGATGTTTAAGTCAGAGGAGTATTGGTCAACTAACATCCATATAGACAGAGGCATATTGGAGACGCAGTCACATTCATGCTCTTCAGACATCGGAGTTTTCTTATTTTCTAAATAAATCAGTTTTGCCTCCTCAAATTAGCAGCAATTAATATTGCTTCCACTCTTTCTTAGTTTGATCAAACAAATTGGAATATTTATTGAATGAATGAGTGCAAAAGAAAATTTCAAAATGTAAGTTCAAATTGCCAATCTGTACACGAAAATACATTGATATACATTTGCCACACTCCACCCAGGTGAAGTCAATGGGTACCTGGTAGGAATTTATTCCTTGAAATGCAAGAGCGCCGTATAGCAGCCGTGCTAAAGCTAGGGTAATAATCGGGAGCGCCAGGAGGGTCAATTCTAACTGACATGAGCGCTATACAAGAACCCAATATTATTATTATTATTATTATAAATGATTAGTTATAATCTAATCGCTCCGATTTGAGAATGGCACAGTGTTCTGCATCTGACAATTTTTGGGGGGTGATTTTTCCTGTTTCTGATCATGTTTAATGTGTCCTTCTTAGCGTTGTAGATCTAAAAGATCATGCTAAAATGTCATTGCAGTAAGAGGAGATACTGTACTGCTATGGGTTATTAGTGTTTTATTTCTGATCATTGTGATGTTTCCAGAACCTCATAGTTTACATCAATGTGTGTGCACTACATAATCAACCTTTCTCTATTGATTTTTCAGTGCATAATTGGAACTGAACTCTATCTTTGAAAACAAAAATAAAGAAAATATATTTTCATGAACTACACATATGTATACAAGCATAATCTGATTCTGTTTTTCTCTACTTTCTCATTCATCAGTTCAGCCAATATGTAAGGGAACAGTTAGGTTCTCAACTTGTCGGTGATAATTGCATAGTGCTGTCATTAAGCGAAGGTAGTGTAGTCGGTGACCTGCAAATGGAACTTGCCGCTGACAGCCAAAGTGTAGCAGATGGGCTTGCTGTGAGTGTTTCTGCTTTGTCTACCAACATTGATCAAATGTTATCAGCTAATGGTCAAACTCTTCTGGTATCGTCTATATTGTCAGAAGGTAAGAGTAAAATCCAGGCTTTTTTCACCAGCCATTCTTCTCTTAAGACACCTTACAAGAGGATATTGTATTTCGCATACAATATATATTAGCTTTATAGTTCTCAAAACAAATAATTTTGTTGATTGTGACTGGGTATCTTGAAATGAGTTCACTTGTCTGCAATGTATAAAAAGCCACTTCGCAAATGACAGGCAATACCAGAGGACACAATCAACAGGTCGATTTCAGATACTTTTTGTATCAGAAATTAGTATAGCCTTGCAACTGTTAAACATTTGTGATTTTTATTTGATGGTCCTTAATTATTTGCAATATCATATATCTAGGATTAATTGGTAATCAACTCTCTATCACTAAGGACTGGAGTGAGTATTTGATGCAACCAAGCGATAAGATGTTGTGTTCAAGATGCACTCTAACATACAGCAATTAGTGTTTGTTTTTCAAATGTGTTTGAGACAAATAAATGTAGGCTTCAAATTATGATATATTTGAGTGACTTGCATTTAAACCTATTGTTATGTCATCATGCAATATTGAATCAAAGATGGTTATGTATCAATATCAAGGCAAGAAAAGGCATTGTGCTGGTGCACATGGAGTTTGACATTGTCCAATCCATGGGATTCGACCCATGTGCAGTCAACCGTGAAGAGATGCCCAACAAAAATGGTACCAAAATAAGCTGGAAGAATGACGCCACTTATTATATTCCATACTTATAGTTCTATGAATTAGACAATTTCAAAAATTGTTCACATAATAGCTGTCGAAGCACATGTAGTATTCAGTAGACTGTATTATTATTATTATTATTATTTGTTCATATTATTTGTTCATATTAGAGTAGTTTTATGGAGTTCTTGTGTTTTCTACTGTCTATACCTTGTCAATAAATAACGACAAAATAAGTTGGTCAGTTATCAGAAGAATTTGAATCATTCCTATATCTTTGAAATGAATGATCAATCAAATTGCCAGAACGGCGGGGAATGTACTTCTTCTGGACAGCCTTGTAATTGTCCAGCTGGTTTTACAGGAGACCTTTGCCAGAATGGTAAGTTGTGTAATTAGTCATTTTTAGTGTGTTTATGCTCCCTCTCACTCATTCTCCCTAGGCATACACGTTTATATATATATATATATATATATATGATTTTATATACAGTTTCACAAGAAATGGATGTGAGAGTACTCTCTTTTCTTTGCACAGTCACAACTGATTTTGCGTACATGTACATGTATATTTGTCTGGTCTTGTTTTTCTTAATCTCATATCTGATACATTTATTTTGCAGCTTCTCAAGGATTGTCGAATGGAGCCATCATTGGTATTGCTCTCGGAGTTTTTGGTTTTGTTCTCGTCCTCATAACCTGTGTCTGCTGTGTTTTCGTACAAGGTGTTAGACAAAATCAAGCAACAAAACTGATGCTCGCGTGAGTATTACAATGAATTTACAAATAAAAAAGCTTAAGCTATTACTGACCACATCTTTGATTTCAGTATATATGACGGCTTTACTTGCAAGATGATAGCTCTAGACTTGAATCGGATAAAAAAAAACATTAAATGGTAGTTTTATGTTGACAATTTCATGATGGCAATGCCTTAAAGTATGGGATCTATATATGTATTTTTGACTTGCTTTAGATGTATCTAGAGGTGCCTTGCCAAGTGATATTTAACTCTTCTTGACATTTTGTATGCATGATAGTTAGAAACTATCTATCAATCTATCTATCAATCCCCTTTCTATGTGTACATACTGTACCTCTATCGACCTGTCTACATTTATTTATATAATTATAAACCTTATCTTAGAGATGCAGTGAACCACTTGATTGGCCCATCACAGTTCTCAGTGATGGTCTTCTGTCTCGACACATTTTGTAAATTTGGTGATGCTATTTTTTTACAATGTTTACATTGATGAAAAACAATGTTGTTGTTTTTTCAGTGAACAACGGTATGAAAATCCAAGTAGACAAAATAGAGGCTTCTACGGAAACGAATCTTTCAATGGTTCTGATGAGTACAACTCCCTTGAAGGACGCCGGTATGCTGTTGGTCAAGCATTGGATCGACTGCGCGGAACTGATTCACAGGTACGAACCGTTTCCTTGTCAATTTGTTTAACGCTTTATATACCCACAGAGGTAAAAGAAAGGAGTGGAATCAAGCCACTTTCATTTGACCCCATGCTACAAGACGTCGAAAAGTTATGCGCTAATCTGCAACTGTTCATCAGGTGATGAGATAAAAGAGCACATGAAATTTCAGGATTTAGAATTTTTACATCCGAAAGTGGTATCCCAGCAACTGTTCGCTGTCCTTTTCAATGATTTTTCATCAATTGTTGAATGTGTAATGAGTAGAACAAGCTAACACAAACTTGTGTAATTTCATCCTTTTTCCAACTGCAAAAATACAAAAAAACACGCATTAGCAAACTTAATGTTGTTGAAGATTGTAAATCATGGATTAAATAATTAGTGGGACATTAAAACATGCACAATGTAGCGCATTATCCTAAAATATTGAGTTTTTGTGAGGATCTAATTTTTCTTTTACCAAATCTGGCACACAAATTATAGGAAGGGCGGAGTACTCAATTTGGAAAATTGTTTGATGCACTATTCCTAATACAACCCAATATAAAGTTTATAATTTTGACTGAAATTTGGCCCGTAATTGAATATTTTGTAATAAATGTATAACTGGTGCCTGGCCTCCAAAATTCCCTGCAGTGGAAGCGCGGCTAGGAGCATGGAACTTCAAAACCAAGTGGAATGTTACACATCCCATTATTACGCGTTAGAACTCACGAATGCGTTTGAATAAATTACTTGAGTTTCCACTTCATTTTCCATTGTAGCATTGTGTGCTTGAAACAAAACAAAAATCATTATGCAACATATACAATGAATTTGCCCCCGGCACAGCAAGGGTTATCAAAATGACAACAAATATTGAAAACAAAACAACCCTCATCATCGAAAATAATCAAGGTGTGGATGGTGAATGTGCACCCCCCCCCCCCCCCCCATCCCGTACATAGCCTCCAGGACACATACCACTGCTTGAAATATCAACGTAAATGTCAAAATCTGAATATCAGTAAGGAATTATATTCAGCTGCACAATGAATGATCACATTGAATAGACCATTTTACTTACTCTTTCAACTTGTACACGTTTCTTCTCCCCATTACCAGCCATTCCGTTCACCTGCTAATAATTGCATCTCTATGAATGAGATCCACTTTGCTTACATTATTTCGTGCTATGTTGGTAAATCCTCTGGCAAGTTTTTGAGTAGTCAAGAAAAACATTATTTAAAAAGTATGCATACAATTGATAAACAGGTCTAGTGATTTTTTTATTATTATTATTGTTCAAGATACAACTAGATTCTTGATTATCTGTTTTTAATCACTATACTTTTCGATTTAATGATTTTATAGATTATGTTTTGAAAGAAAAAGAAATTATCAAGTCTTTTATTATTGTTTGTCTTCCCAACAGCGTCATGAAGATCGCAATTTCTGGACTCCCTATGTGGTAGATGGGAGTGAAACGGTATGTAGAATATTATTTGCATTTGACAATGCTCTGCGTTCATAGTGTCATTTATCAGGAGAGTTTGGCCAATCATATTTGAGTTTGGCCAACCATATTTGAGTTTGGCCAACCATATATGAGTTTTGGACAGTTTTGCAAATACTGCTATGATGGGCAGACACTGAACAAAAATACACTATGTTCTGACCAACTGAAATCAAGTTGGTCAAACTCTTGTGTATATGGCTCTGAGTACTTGTAATACGGTATGCCACCTGTCAGATGTCATGGGCCAATTTAGGACTTCTGGGCTAGACATAAAATCTGAGCTCTCTCGGCGGCGTTGTTGCGTGGCCTTTTCACCCACTGTTTGTGGACATTTGATGCATACAGAGTCATCGAATGAAGAACATTGCAACGTGTCAACTCCTTTCTCCCTAGAACTATACAAGATTGGCATAAGTTACCCCTTTAAATTGGTGAGAAAGTTAATCTGCCCTTTCAAAATTCTTTATATGTATTATTTAATGTTAATTTAAGTAATAATAACGATCTTGGTTTGTAATAGGGCTTGATACATTGGCAATGTCTCTAAGCACTTTATTGTTATAGTATTACCATTGGTCATTGGATTTAGGCTTGCCTGCACCCAATGCATGCAAATGTTGGCACATTCTCCTGAGGTGCCAACAGCCCAGCCAAGTGCCGTTTTACAGAAAACCACAATGCTAAGCAAACTGCAGTGACTTTCGCATCACAAATACCTTGGTAGAGATTAGTAAATGTGGATTAATTCCAGTCAAAGGACATTATTGCTTGGCTTGGGTTCGAACCCTCAACCCTTGGATTAAAAGTCAAGTGAATGGACCACTATATCACGACTTTTCCACTTTGACCATCTTAGGAAAATGACCCATTCCCAGTCTTAATATACTGGAATTACTTTTAATTAATGTATAAGTTATTTTACAATGCTTGATATGTCACATTTGTGTCCTTTCTCTAACCCCTCATTTATTATTTCTATTTTAGAGTGCTCTGATCACCAGAAATAGATTATTTTATATGTTAGTAGTTCCATGTTATATCACTTGATTCCAAATATGAGTTTTAGAGATATTACTTTAAATATTTTAACTTAAATTATTATAACACTCTCAATTGATATACAAGATATTTGTGAGTAGACTATGGAGTATGCAGTGCACCCTCAGCACTCGCTTCTAATAGGGCTCACACGGAACCAAAGTCCAACTTGGGTTCCACGTGCACTGTTTTTTATCCTTACCTTTTAACCGTGAATCCATTAGATGCCTGGTTAAATGTTGAAGTTTGATTTATTAATTCTAGCAATACATAACTTAATTGTGTTAAGTGATTGGTACACTTTAATACCAAAGGATATGTATTTTCTTTCAAACTTTGATTTTCTGTTTTGTTCTACTCTTCTTTATTACAGTACAATGATGTGGAGCGAAATCCCATGCATTATTAATCACCAAGAATCTTACCTTCGGACAAAGAACGAATATGACAACGGAAAAGAATTTAGTGAATTAGTTACGTCTTATGGATAGATGGGTTCTCTTCTGGATAGGCTGAATATCAAAGTGTATACAATCATATTATTAGATTAAGTAAGGGCTTACTTGCATTTGACAGATTGACTGATTTAATTGATGTAATCATTCCAAGTCTCTGTTACAAACAACCATACTATTTTATCAATTAACGGCTTACTTGCATTTGACCGATTGGCTGATTGAATTGATGTAATCATGTTAAACTCACATCATTTTAAAAAGACTGCTTTTCAGCAAGTATGTGTTACAAACATAAAACTGATGTTATACAGACCAAATTGGATATAAGTACATGAATAATTTCAATGTAATTTACTGTATCTGTGAATATATAAGGGCTTCATTGTTAAAGATGAAGTTGAGTTCTGGTCATGCGATTGCATTGTGAAAGAAACGGTGTGGAATCGATAAGAAAAGGTTGATCATCTAGCATATAAGAATTTATGTGTATTGCAAGGTTCTGGAATCATCAAAATGATAAGAAATTTAGCCAAGTCTTGGTAAAGTTACAAACACTGTACACTGAAAGATGTATATGGGACTACACGAACACGTGGCGTAAAAAGCCGGCCTCCGATTTTTACGATATTACATGCATATTTAGAATATGAAGGCATTTGAAGAGCCATGCTTTTCAGGGAACATGTCTTATCTGATGTTCTTCCACACTTGCATAATAAGAATGAGTAATGCTCACAAATTATTTTTCACCTCTTCCCAGAACTCAACCTTCTCTTTAATCTAGAAATGGTTTGATATCATACCTTTATTGATCAAGTAATTTATATTCATGTTACAAAAAATTAAAAATGTGGTAAAACATGATTTCACCCAAACTGTTATTTAAAGCGCCAATTCCTATCACATGCTTTTAACGTGTACCAATTTTAAGTCTTTAAATAGTACGAATTTTCTATAGTTTTATTTCAATTGCTTATGGTAGCGGGAGTATAACACCTCTCTCTCTCTCTCTCTCTTTCTCTCTCTCTCTCTCTCTCCCTCTCTCTCTCTCTCTCTCTCTATATATATATATATTAGATGAATACACTATTTAGCATTCTGATTTTGTATGAATAGATTAAAATGCATATGATGTAGAAAGGAGGGCTATCAAGTAAACAGAATAGTATGATCATATGGGATCAATCCATGGCGCTAAAACAGTACAAACAGTCATTTTAAATCTTTCCTTTATGAATATAAATAACATTATTTACCTCTTGTACTTTTACCTGAGACATTTTTGCCAGGCAACAAAGTAACCCCCTTGATAGGCTAAATATCAAGTTTATACAATCATACTATTATATTAATTAAGGGCTTACGGTATTTGCATTTAACCGATTGACCGAATAAATTGATGTAATCATGCTAAGTCTCTGTTACAAACGATCATACTATTATACTAATTAAGGTTTACTCAAATCAGTCTAAAAATACTGCTTGTCAGCAAGTCTTTGTTAAAAACATAAAACTAATGATAAAGAAATATTTTAAGATAAATGTTAAAAAGAATTTAATACGATTTTCTGTATCTGGGAGTGTACAAGGGCTGCATTGTTAACCAGGATGGGTTCGATATCATATATGTATTGATCAAGTAATTTATATTTATCTCACAAAACATCATGAATGTGGTAACATATGCTTTCTCTTTAACTGTTATCTAAATAGCTGATTCCTATCTCATGCTCTTAATGCGGATCAATTTTAAGACTTTAAATAGTACACATTTTCTATATATTTATTTCAAATGCTTATGTTAGCGGGGAGTATACCATCCCCCTCTTTCTCTCTCTCTCTCTTTATATATATATTAGATGAATACTCTTTTTAATTGATATGGTTTTGTATGAATAGATTTATTTGCAAATTATGTAGAAAAGGGCTATCAAGTACCCAGAATAATGTGATCATATAGGGTAAAAATATAGCACTAAAACAATACAAACAGTAACTTTAAATATATTCTTTATGAATAAAAAACAATATTTTTTACCTCGTGCACTTGTACTTGTGACATTTTTTGTCACATACCAAAGTTAACCCCCCCCCCACCACCAGGAATATTTTGTATCCCACTTGCTTCCCTTTCAATTAAAGGATTGTGTAACAAGGACCTGTTTGTTTAGTTAATTAATTCAAAGGTTATGCAGATTAAATAAAGATTAAGGGAAGTTTAACCAAAACTTTCTCGTAGGTCCTTTCTCTTGTTTAGGAAAATGTCGCTTTAATAATGATGTAGAAATGAATTAGGTTCAAAAAGAATAAAAATACATGAATGTATGTATGATGTATTGAAACAAAGCAGGCTTACAATGGATGTGTCATGTAGCACAATGCAAGTAAATTTATTAACGCACACGTACTTTCTTTTGTCTCATTGCCATTTTAAAATATGTTTCTAAATATGTAATATATATTTTGTTTAATTTCTATATTCATGTTCCTCCAAAGCCATTCATTATACAGTACTAGGATATTACCCCTTATAAGTCTTTCATGTTTCAAGGATGTATGTTTTTTTTTAAATATATTTCTGTTCGTATGATATATTTTTGTATTGATATATATTTTTCATTAGAGATCACTAGTAATTGTAATAAATGTTCCAATAGGGAAGACTGCTGAATAGTTATTTGAGTCCATGTGTGATTCATACAGTATATGTTTTCAATACAGACAATTTAAGACGTGTGTATACTAATATAATTATTATCATCATCATTTTTATTATTATCAACAGTTATTATCATTAATATCAGGATTTTTGTTATCAAAATTATCACTATATATTATTATCAACATCATTGTTATTATTATTACGATGAAAATAAGAGATATAAAGTAACGATTGCTTTATTACTAATCATAAAATAGTTCATGAATACATTTAGGGAGAAGTGGGAATTGTATAGAATATGAGAAAGAAACAAGGGAAAGGTGTATAAAAGAGACGGATTAAAGTATAAACACAACACATCACAAGAGAGAGAGAGAGAGAGAGAGAGACTTCTGAAACTATTTCAATCAGAAAATCGAGAAGAAAAAAAAATGAAGAAGCCAGGAGGAGATCGAGACTTTGAAAATATGTAACGATTCCATTGTTTCTATCACGTTGACCTGTAAAGCCACTATTTTAGTTCGTGTCTGTATAGCACAAATACGGTTTTGCAGTGTATAGGCATCTTATTCTGTCTTTATCCCCTGTTTTTCCTGCCTGGCGAGATGCATCTAGCTGACACATCGCCGAATTCTACTGGCGAGATGTGTCTCCTAGATCAGCGAGATGAGTCTACGATTGACGAAAAGTGTCCACTGGCCGAAATGCAGTTACTTTCGTGACTCATCTTAAAGTGCGGGTTCATAGAAAATCACAAATATGGCAAATAGCGTATTACTAGAAACTGGTAAGCTAACAGATGGCCATCATGCAAGTTTTAGGTCAACTACATATCGGGGGTTTTATAAAAATACAAATAAAACAACCTCCATAGCATCTGGGATATGCCAGAGATTCGCCTGAAATAACGATATTTTAATGCCGTCACAATATGAACCAACCCTGCCCAAGCAGATGACATTCCATAAAGATTGAACATAATTGCAATGCTTTTATTTCTCAAATTATAATGAGTTTAGTGTATATAAATGTGATGGGATTTTACACCATTCAAAAATAGTTATGACCTCCATTCTGATAACGAAATTATTTTTGTTTGGATATGGGTTAATGAACAATCAAAGAAACCACACTTTCACGTTGACGTCATTTTGTTCCCTCTTGAAACGCCGAACATGCCACGGTGTATACAGCTGAAAATACAATGGCGTCTTATTTTGTTTACAATTTAAGCAACGGATTCGTTTTTTGAAATTTAATTCTTGCATTTTTCATCAAAATAATACCATGCACGGGGTTAAGGGTGAAGCAATAGAGTAAACATTTCGCCTGAGGGTATTGAAGTAAGAGAAGTAACTGAAGAAAAGATGACAAAACAGGCACTGAAATTGTGTGAGATGTCATGGGACATCGTCTGTGCACATCATGTTCAACATGTGACGTCATATCTCAGCAGCGACCGGGGAGCTTTTCAGGTGCTATGTCGTCGCTGTATCTAAGCGTTACTTCGAATGTTTCCAAGCCTTGTCACCTGTGCAATAATGACATTAAAGTTAGTTTTTTTTAATCAATGAACCTTCTCTTTAAGGAACTATACACGTGTTTACATGATATTGTCTAAACATATCTTTATTAAAGGTAAAACAAAATGTTGGTATGGCGTCATGATTTTTTTCCAAATGAACATAGTGGAAGCATATGCGATCCTAAAATATTTAGTGATCGTTGTCGCGGTTGAAATCGAGTCTAATGAGTTACGAAATTGTAAATAATAAACTGTTTATTTTGTATAGCTCCCTCTCTCAAGATCAAGATATTAATTAAGCTATAAAACAATGTTTCTTGATTAAAATCGACCGATTAGATATTCCAGTTTGGAAATTATACATCACAACTACATATTCGGAAGTTTTCATGGTCGCAGCTACCATTGTAGAATCACTATCCACTCAGTGTTCGAAATTGCATTCCCCCCCCCCCCCCCCCAATTGAGCGCCAGGGAGGGGGGGGGCATCTCCAAAAAAAGGTAAAAGTTAACGTTAAAAAATGTAAAATACACATTTTTTTCCAAGGAGGGGGGGGGGGGGCGGGCCCCCGCCCCCTGGATCCGCCACTACGTATACGTACGTTGCTCCTTTATGAAGAAGTACTCCGTGAAGCCAAGTATTAAAAGAGAATTGATAATAGCAGTATATTGTAAAAGGACACCCTTTATGGGGCAAATACTCTTGCGCCCTTGCGGCGAGTAAAAGCAGACATTTTGGGGATTTTCAGCCGGTGTCCGGCCGGCTCCTGTACAGTTCCTATACGGGCGCCGGGGTATTTTTCATCAGCGGCTGATGTATCTTTTCAAAATGAACGAATTTTTGTTCACTTTTCGTCAAAATATCATCAAACTGATTCCTTGATTTTTCTTTCACATCTCCACACACTACCACCCACATTTCTAACTTATCATCATTAAACTGTGTTAACGAAGATAAATTTATCTTCATTTAACAGCTAAATGAGGATAAATTTATCTTCGTTAAACAGCTAAATGAGGATAAATTTATCTTCATTTAACAGCTAAATGAGGATAAATTTATCTTCGTTAAACAGCTAAATGAGGATAAATTTATCTTCATTTAACAGCTAAATGAGGATAAATTTATCTTCATTTAACAGCTTAATGAGGATAAATTTATCTTCATTTAACAGCTAAACGAAGATAAATTTATCCTCATTTAACAGCTAAACGAAGATAAATTTATCCTCATTTAACAGCTAAACGAAGATAAATTTATCCTCATTTAACAGCT